ATTTTTTTAAAATAAAAACCAGTCTTCCTCAGACAAATAGGATATATCAAAAGGCCTTTATTTTCACTAAAGTCATTGTCTACAGGGCCACCGAGACAGACCAAGATCTCTATTTTTATTCTAGTTCCTTAGCCAAGACTCTATTCTTAGCCTGCTACTAAGAATACTCTATCCAGCAATGCATTCTGGAATAGGATGACATTGTTTAGGCTGAGATCAAAGAACCTGACTTGTCATGATCTCTGAAATCAGCTCTAACCAAAAAGTGAGTCCCTGCCACTATTATATAGGACTTCTAATCACTTCTGTCTGAATATCAAACTTTGACCAGATAGGTCTCTAGAAAATCATAATTAGATATCTTGAAAATATTGCAGATCCTTACTTCTCTGCACAGAGCCTGTAGACCAGAGCACAGCATTCATAACCCCATAATAGTGATCCTGTTTTCTCAGAGACTGAACACATTTATTAGAAAGGAGAATCTCCTTACTCTAAAAATGTGGGTTTCCAAGGTGACCCAGATAATTCATTGTCCTTGCCTTGATACTGGAAGCCTGAACACCAAACTGTCGTATGACTTATCTAATAAAGTTAAAAGGTTGTGTTACTTTTCTATTTATGCAGCTATAATAACAACCGTGGTATTAATAGCCCACACTGGATACAGTGGAGTAGTGATGAACAGCAAAATTCAGCCTCTCAGAGACCTGGAATCGAGACACCTGGAACATGACAACTTGGCAATAAGAAAATAAGTAGATCACTGGATATTAAGAAAGAATTGATAAGAAAATTAGAAGCTACAGAGAACTTGGAGAAACTCATCAAGAAAAAAAGGAAGTACTTTGGAAGCTTACCCTGGCTCCTGAAGAGCCTGTTTCTCCAAATGCAAAGTAAGCCCCAGGATTGGGAGTTTGAGGGGGAATCAAGAGACCAAGTCAGCAGCACACTGGCCCAAAGAAATGCCCATGGCTACTGTAAACTGCAAAAATAGCATGGGGTTGTACTCCAAAATGACTCCTTTTACTCAGCAGGCAGTGGTTAAGAGAAGGGATCCAGTGTAGTACCCACCATGTTGCTAGAGGTTGTTTAATCCAGCACTATTTCTGAAAAGGATTGAATTTTGTTTAAGACTAAGACTTGGAACAATCAAAAGAAAAATTCACTTTAGTTTCCCATATTATCCATAGTGACTTGGTGAGAGACAGCCCCAGGAGATAACTGCAGAGAGGGTGTGGACTAGGCATACACCTCCTGAGAAGTTTAAGCTCATGATGGGAAAGATATAGGCCCTGAGTTATGTGGTGAGAAGCCAGGCCCAGCTTGTATAGCTCTCAGAAGAGCAACTGGATCGCAGACCAGAGTCTCATTGCTTTCCCCATCTACCAAAGTGAGTAAGGATGTTCTTTAGCTTGAATGGTTGCCACAGACAGAGGGGCTTTTGGAAAGGTGTTGGCAGTAGGCTCACAGATCCACAGGTCATAAAGTAGGCAGAGAAAATTGTGACTTGCTGGATTCCTGAAACTGTGGACCTGGAAAGAATACAGTTATTAGATGGCACAAAGAAGGCTCTTCTAAGATTAACTGGAATTAGTGAAAAATCAGAAGACAGTATAAATGGCATAAAATAACCTGTTTACAGAAATAATAGCAGAAAACTTTTCAAATAGCGGGAAAAGAATTGAACAAATAAATGAGGCATATAGAACCCAAAATAGCCACGATCAGAAAATAACCTGTCCAGGACACATCATAGTTAAAATCCTGGAAGTCCAACACAAGTAATAAAACTACCAACTAAGAAAATCCCACTTTAAAAAACCTACCAAGAAAAGCACTGATGGATACAGCACTTAATTCTACAAGAAATTTATGAAAGACCAAACACCATTATTTCTCAAACTCTTTGATGAAAGTGAAAGGGAAGGAGTACTCTCAAAGTCATCCCTGGTAGTTAACATTACCCTGATTCCAAAACCAGGAATGACTCAACTAATCACATAAACAGAAGCAAGGATAAAATAAAATGATCCCCTCAATATATGTAGAAAAAGTCTTTGACAAAATCCAAAATTGTTTCATGATAAAAAACCATGAATAAAATAGGTATGATAGGGCCTCATTTCAATCTGATAAAAGCCTTATATATAAGACAAAGCTATTATCAACATCATATTAAATGGGGAAAATCTGAAAGCTTTCCCTTTAAAATCAAGAACAAGATAAGGATATCCACTATCACCATTCCTGTACAAAACAGTACTTAAAACATTAGCCACAGCAATTAGGAAAGAGAAAGAAAAGGTATACGTATAGGAAAGGAAGAAGTCAAATCATCACTATTTGCAGATGACATGTTCTGTTACAAGGAAGACTCAAAGAATTTCACCAAAGTCTCCTAGAATTAATACTTAAATTCAATAATATAGCAGGATACAAGATCAACACCCAAAAGTCAGTATCATTCCTATATAACAATAAAGAACTCCCAGAAAAAGAAATTAGGAAAACAATACCATTCACAATTAGCATCAAAAGAAATATTTAGGAATTAACCTAAATAAGGAAGTAAGAGACCTCTACAACAAAAACTAGAGTACTCTTAAGGAGACTGAAGACATCAGAAAAATGCAAAGATATTCTCTGTTTCTGAATAGGCAGAACCAAAATGGCCATTCTTCCAAAGCCAATATACAGATTTAACACAATCACAACCAAATATCAATAGCATTCCTCACAGAACTAGAGAAAACAATCCTAAAATTCTTATGAAACAAACAACAGAATAACACATGAGATCCTGGACAAGAGCAAGTAAGTAGTAGGCATCACAGTCCCAGATTTCAATGAGACAGTACTATCAAAAAAAAAAAGGGGGACATGTGGATCAATGAATCAGCACAAAAGGTGCAGTTATCTGATCTTTGACACAGGGGTCAAAAATATACTGGAGGAAAGACAGTTTCTAACAAATGGTGCTGGGAAAACTAGCTATCCACATGTGTAAGACTGAATCTAGATCCATATTTCTCACCATGTAATAAAAACTAAAATTAGAATGAATCAAAGACCTAAATGTTAGAACAGAAATAATGTGCTAGAAGATAAAACAGGTAAAACTCTTGAAGACACAGGCACAGGTAAAGACTTCCCAAACAGAACTCAACTGCACAAACAGAATCAACAAATGGGACATAATAAATTAAAAAGTGCACAGCAAAGGTTAACAGTCAACATAAGGAAGAGACAACCTACAGAATGGGGAAAAATTTTTGCCAGATACCCCTGAGACAGGACTAATATCTAGAATATATAGAGAACATAAAAAAAAGAAGACCCTGTAAAATTAAAGATCCAATCAAAAACAGGACAAATGAAATACATAGATACTTCTCAGAAGTACCAATGTCCCATAAATATATGAGAAAATGTTTAACATCTCTGGCCATTAGAGAAATGCAAATTAACACAGAAACTCTATCTTACTCCAAAAGAATGGCTGTCATCAAGAAATCAGAGAACACCACATGCTGGTGAGGTTGCAGGGAAAAAGGAACCTTTCTATATTGTTGTAGGGAATGTAAACTAGTACAGTCATTATAGAAATTAATATGGAAATTCTTCAAAAAACCTAAAATTGGGGGCAGTGGTTCTGCCGCCTGCCTCAATAGCACAAGGTCCCAAGTTCGATTCCCAGTACCAAAAGCAAAACAAGAGAAAACAAACAAAAATATATTTGAGGCAGGCATGGTGGTGCACACCTATAATCCCAGCACTTGGGAGGCTGAGGCAGGAGAATCGCTGTGAGTTTGGGACCAGCCAGGGCTAGTGAGTTCCAGGTCCATACATAGTGAGACCCTGTCTCAAAAAATAACAACAAAAAAAAAACCCTAAAATTGGAAATTCCATTCAACCCATCTATTTATTCCTTTTCAATAGTTATCTTCCCAAAAGTGTTAAAGACATCCTATTGAAATAATACATATATACCCATGTTTATAGAAGCAGAATTCATTTGTCCAACAGACGAATTGATAAGGTGGTATTTACATACCATGGAATAGTACTTCACTATTAAGAGGGATAAAATTTAGTGATTTTGTAGGAAAATGAGCATAATGTTAAGTGAAATAAATCAGACACACAAGTTTAAATACCACATGACTTCTTATATGAGAAACTCAAACTATAATAAAGAGTCAATTAAAAGAAGAGATAATAGGAGATAAAAAGTTCTTTTGCAAATTGAAAAGTGACCAAGAGATGGAGTGGGATGGGGAAACAAAGAGGATGAAAAAGTACCTAGGATGTGTTACGTATATGTGTCAACTGCACAAGGCATGTGATCCCAATAAAAAAATGAAAACTGAAAAAAAAAAAAGCCAACATTAAGGGCTTATCACATGCTCGGCATTTTAGAAACTCCATCTCATTTAATATTCCAGTAATCTTATATGGTACTGTAATTTGTTATAGATAAGAAAAATTTTACCAATGTTGCCTAAACTGATTAAGGTACCAAGCTACTATTTAAGCATAGGCTTTTATTACTCTAGTTCTTGAGTTGTGTACTCCTATTTAAGCAAAAGAGAAGACACAAGAGAAGTGGGGGGAGGAAAAAACTATAAGGAAATATCAATTGCATTTTGCTTGATTTTCATGAGCAGACTAAATTTTATAATCAGTAAGTAAATTATTCATATGCTGATACTTCCCCTTACAACATTTCTTTCAACTTTGCCATCCATTATTCAAGGATTAAGCCCTTCACATGCATTATTTTATTTAGTTCTTATAAGAATCCTTTGAAGTAGATATCGCTATTCTTCCTTAACAGATGATGGAGCTGAAGTATACAAAGATGACCCAGTTTCATTAGGGCTGCATAGCTGGTAAGTAGTAGAACTAGGCTCACATCCAAATCTCTCAAGCATTCCAGGTACTTACACATTTAAACTGGACCAGGAAGAATCTCATAATTACAGCAAAGTACTTACATAGTCAATAGGCTTAAGGGATGTAACTCCAGATGTTGGGCAGCCACAGGAAGTAAGGTCAGCATAGAGGCCTTCTTCTAACACACACTGATTATAGAAAATGTCCTCTTGGTAACAGAGAAGCCAGCTGTAAAACAAGCAGATATCCAACCAAATTACAGTCAGCTGGCAGTGAGGGCTCACCATCATGCTGTGGAAACTGGTGCACCAGTGATTGCTTACCATACCATATCAGGAAATTTACATGTATTATTTCATGAACATCAAAAATTCTTTGATTTAGAAACATATCCTCACCTTTATAGGCAACAAAACTAAGGATTAAAAAGCTTTAGTGATTTGTCCAGAATTCCCCTACCTATTAAAAGACAGGGCTGAAATTTGAAATAAGACGACATCTGTATTATGCTAAAAATATTCTTTCATTTAGTGCCTTCTGAAGCAATATACTGGGATCAAATTATAGGGATGATTATTTGAAAAAATTAGAAGTTATTTTGGGAAAAATTAAAACTATCTTTAATGATCTTTTAATGATTCAACGTGGATAAGTGTAGGAGCTAGACTTCTAAAATTACATAAGTATGTAAAATCACATGAGATAGCTAACAGAAATTTAAAAAAAAAATCCTTTAGAATCCTTGATGGTGAGTAATCGTCATTACAACACTCACCAGAAGCTCAACTAAGACATTCTTTTTTTTTGTATCCAGGATCAAACTCAGGTCCTTGCACTTGCAAAGTAACAGATTCTCCTTTGAAAAGGGGCCCAAGGGAAAAATTAATTTGCTATTGATAATTTAGTTTTTGTGTGTTTCAGTTCCAGTTCTGTATTTTAAGATTGTACTATATCTATACCAGGTTAACTTTGGATTACCACAAAATATCCTCTCTGACATTTACTGTCATATCTTCTACACAATAAGCATTTTCTAGCCAACATTTATCAAAAGTTTTCATTGCACAAGGCATGAGACTATGTCTTTCATGCACATTATTTTATTTAGTTTTTAAAAATCATTTGAGGTAGATAGCTATTCTTTCTTTGTGGATGAGGAAATTGAGGTCCTGAGAAGTGTGACCTGATTTGCTTATGAATACATAGCTGGGAAGTAATAGAAATGAGCTCTAGGCAGGTCTCTCTAATGTTCCAAGTACTTACACAACTTCCATGATTCTTAAATTCTTTAATAAAGTTGTAGTTGTCCATTTCCTAGATAATAAAAGATTTTCTTCCAGAAAAACTTTAATGATTCTTTTTATAAGAAAATGAAAATATATCTTATAAAATATTTTAATGAAGAAAGTCAAATAATACTAAAGAAATTACTTTGGGACATCCGTCCATGTTTTCCTTTTTTCTAAAGAGTTACAGATAGTCTACTTATTATAATACTTCACTGTGTACGTTTTAATGCTGTGAAAGTCTCATGACCTGTTTAGAAGTATAAAACAGGAAGAAATACAAAGAGGTTCAAAGCAGAAGAGCTTTAGGAAATAGGGGAAAGACTGCTTAGAGTGAATGAAGGTTAACAGAATGGTTTCGACTAAACTTTAAAGGATATATTTGGATTAGTATTAAGCAGGGGACACAAATTTCTGTATCTGCAGGTGGCCAGTCAAGTCATGCACATGAGTACTGTAACAGGTGAGAAGAAAATGAGATTAGCAGTGGATGTGATACACGGTAAAGTATACTCTCCACCCACTAAAAACCAGCAATTACTGCCAAAGGTGAAATCTTTCTTAGTCATCAAATCTTCCGTTTTTTTAAGGGGACCATGAAAAACATTTCTTCTGAAATAATATATCATAAACCAAAGTCTTGATGTGCAAAAACTTTTAACAGTGTGTAGCCTGACCAAATAATATCCACTGGTTAGATTTACCACAGAACTGTAATCTTTGATATAGATTAAGGGTTAGCAAACTGTAGCCTCAATATCTGTTTTTATACAGCCCACAAGATAAGTCTGGTTTACAAGTTTTTAAATTGTTTTAAAAATTAAAAGCAGACTATTTTATGACATGTAAATATTATGTACAATTCCAATTTCTATGTGCAAAAGTGAAATTTCATTGTAACAGAGCCATGACTCTGCACTTTGTACTGCCGATGGCTGCTGTTTTTTAACAACAGTGTTAAAGCAGCTGGAAGAGAGCCTATTCATCCCAAAGAAGAAAACATTTACTAGCTGCACCATCACAGAAAAAGGTTGCCAACTTCTGGTATAGGAAATAAGAAGAAAAAAAAATGGCTGAGTAAATGAAGGGAGGAAGAATGGGAAGACAGTAGGACACAATGGAGACTGAATAGGAAAAAGCAGACTAACAATAAAGCATAGAAAAACAGGAGCTGAATTTGACCTTTCTGAAACTAGAGAATGACTGGGGGAATTAAAAGCAGATTAATAAAAATATTAAACTGGACTTAGGGACAAAATAATTGGTCTATGACTGGTTCATGGTAAATACTAGAAATAAATAGACAGTGAAACATGAAGTAATTGGGAAACTGAAGTTCCTCAGGTGAAAACAGGAGTTCTTAGTTTCTATTGCTTCAAGAAACAAGGGAGGAAAACTGACTTACCAAGATAATTTGAAGGAGAAATACAGAGATTTTGATAGAGTAGAAGGTAGATATGTAAAACATGGAGACATCACTGAACTGTATACTTATAAACAGTTAAATGGTAAATTTGGAGTTGTGCATATTTTACTAAATAAAAAAAACAGAATACATTTCAGCCCTTAGTTAGAATCATATAGTTTTATATACATGTAAGACTCAAAATATCAATGCAGTTCAAAGAATACAGAGTTTAAAATTAAAATAACCAAAACTATCCTTCATCTGACAATTGGTATATATAACCTTGGGAAACTAACTGTAAATCTTGCTTCCTCATTTGTAAAGTGGAGATAACATAATACTTTTTTTTCTCCCACTTTACCAGGGACTGAACTCAGGATCCTGCACTTGCAAGGCAGGTGCGGTGCCAGTGAGCTAAATCCCCGGCCCAAGATAACATATACTTTTTGTTGTTGTTGTTTGAGACAGGGTCTCAGTATGTAATTGAGACTGACCTGGAACTCACTATGTAACCCAGGATGGTCTCAAACTCACAGCGATCCACCTGCCTCAGCTTCCCGAGTTTTGGGATTACAGGCATGTGCCAAAACACCTGGCCTTAAAATAACATTTACTTTAGAAAAATGAAAAAGTAAAAATAAAATTAGAAGTGATATGTCTCATATGGAAAAAAAGTTATTTTTATAGTATTCTATAATGCTGTATACTGAACACATAATAGAAACATTCAAAGTATTTAGAAAATATTCTAAGAAAATCTTCTCAAAGATGGTTAATAAGCACTTTTTTCCCTGTAATCTGTGACTCACATAAAAATTCAGCAAAACTAGGCTATTTAGTAGTTAGCAGTGCCTAAAAGTTTAAAAATTCACTGTACAGTATATGCAAAAAAAAAACAAGCCAAATCTTTGTACATGTAACAGAAATTGACTTATTAGGTAACAAAGAAAATACTGAGCAAGCAGACTTACCAACCTCGAAGAACTTTCAAAGAACATGGTGTAAATGAAGTCAGATCAGAAGTTTCTTTTGTATAATCTATGCATTCACCTTGGAACCCTGGTTTACTGAATGCTTTGAGCTATAAGAACAGCAACATAACAACAATTAAGCAGAAAATAATTGCCATCAAAAGCAAATAAAACCTTTAATTTCATATGCTTGTAAAAAATTCAGGAAGATAATAGAGTCATCTTTTATCTATTATCAATGAATTTATGTTAAGATGATAACATTCTCCTTTAAGTCACACTTTTTTACATGTTTCAAATCATCATTTAATATTTTCATTCATCTTTTCCTCCAAATTCTGGATATAGATGCCTAGAAAATAGTACTTTCTCTATTAGTAAATCAGAATTTCTCCACTAAAATTTGTTTTCTGTCCATTACATCAAACAATATTATTCCCTATGGAAAGATAAAATATATAAAATAAGCAAACACAAAAGAAGTTTAGGGACATGTCTTACTTTTCTCTTGTCGCTGAGACAAAATACCTAATCCCCAAAGTTAAAGGGGAAACAGTTTATTTAGCTCACAGTTTATGGAGATTTCAGTCCATAATGGACTGCTCCAAGGCAGAGTGGCACATGGCAGAGGCGTTACAGAGGAAAAACTTTGTGGCGCCTACTCAGTAGCAAAAGCAACAAGAGGACCATAATAGTCTTTATCCAGACAATGGGGTTTAGGGCAGTGACAAACCAATCAGTGTACTGGTTTAGTAATCACATGCCCTTAATCCCAGCATCACACACTCTAGATTCAGCCACCTTTGAAAAAGCCACTTATGAGGCTTTTGGGGGACATCTAGACCCAAACCATAACAGCAGAGTTGCTATGCCTTTTCTCTCTCCAAGTCTTCTTGATCCACAGTTAACAGAGAAGAGAATATGAGTGTAGGAACAGATGGGAGAGAAAATGATAAGATTAGTGGAAGATTATGGTGAAGAAAAGACATCTGTTCCAGGTATTTTAGTTTACATGATTGAGTTTTCTGATAAGAATACTTTGCACATCTTACAGTTATATACCACTTTAGTTCCTTGCTTTTCAAGAAAATCTTTGAAATTTCAACTCTAGTTCCCTTTAGAGCAGAGAAATAACAATATGCAACTCTAGTGGCCTTAGATCAAACTTAAGAAAGAAAACATTAGTGAACCCTATAAACATTCCGTAACACATTAGCATGGCTCATTAGTCCACCCTATGTTGACAGGCCTGCAAAGAACACACTGGTAAGTGATCTTCAGCTGCACCTCTTCTACCTGTGCTGGAATCAAGAATAGAGCTTCTTTAAGCAGCAGGTGTTCACCTCCTTCATCTTCCCAAGGGTCTTCTTAAAGGAATTGTTTCCTGGCTATCTCATTCTGCTCTAACTTGCTTGGTCTAATATCAAATATCAGTCCAAACCAGGGAAATAAAAGAACCAGCTCCCCCCTAATCAACTGTGGCTTGCACATGACTTCCTATTGTGAAAGAAATATTATTTGTATTTGAAGCATTAAAACCAAGGGGCTCCTCACATTAAAGAGATAAGATCTAGCAGGCTTCTGCAAGTGTCCTTCTGGTGGATATAGAGGATTGGGGAAAAAAAGTCCAACACTTACCTTTTCTTAACATAAAGTTTTATAAAAATACAAGGCTAAAAGCAAGTTACTTTTTATCTCCAAGAGTATAGAGAAATTTCTTCAAAGTGAAAATTTTATCTACATACATAATAAGAATTGGAAAAACCACATATGATTAGAGACCACAGCTATCTTATTTACTACTTGTATTCCCAGTTCAATGAATTAATTTTATACAATGCCACCTCTGGTCAGTTTGGTTGCAACCAGAATCATGGAAAGAATGAAGTTCGTGGACCAAGGTGTCATTGTACTGCTGAGCTTAAGATTTGTATTTTATCATGGAGCCATGAAATATTCTTAAGACTACTAACAATGAAAATTAAACATAGTTCAGATGGTTTTACTGTTTCATATCCAGAAAAATTAAAATTCACACACATATATAATCTATATAAAGTATTTCTTATTTAATGGGTTAAAATAGTCTTTCCCCATACTTTACAAGACTGGATTTAATGCTTACTGGAATTTATTTTAATTCCAAAACAAGATCTAGTATATGCACTCAAAAGTAGACCAACTCCACAAAGGTACTACCTCATTTTAACCGTTGAAATGACTCAGAATAAAACAACTCTCATAATATTCTGAGAATGGTCAGAACAAAAGCCAACTCTGTGTTCACTGTAACAGTACTGTACCTTGGAAAAATTTAAATTCTGAGAAAAACTAGCTGGATAAATCACTATGGTGGTTTTTTTTTCCAGATTAATGGAGAATAAATGTACAAACAAAACAACTCAAAGTAGGTTGCTTATAACCTAGGAAAAGACTCAGATGAACACAACATGAATATTTTTCAAAAGATACCCATCTCTCTATGCCATGTGGGCTTATCTCAATCCCATCAGTCCTCCAAACATAGGTGTATGGAAGCAAAAACAAAGACAAGGCAAGGTGGCCTTTTATATATGTTGTGGTATTTCCTCTTCAGAAATATCCTTTAAGGCTAAAATTGTCATCATTTTACAAAGATTCTGCAGAAATACTTTTTACTGTGTAATCATCACTTATGATACATGTGAATAAAATGTGTTAATCTTTTCAAATTAGAATGAAAAACTCGAGAACTTAATTGCTGTTCAAACACAGATGCTATGTTAAATTTATTTCACAATATCAGCATTGTCTTTTAAAGTAATTTTATTTACCCCAATACTAAAATAAGAATAAGAAGAAAAATTTTATTTCCTGTCTACATAAATCTTTTTCTAGCCAGGTGTGGTGGCACATGCCTATAATCCCAGCACTCGGGAGGCTGAGGCAGGAGGATCACTCTGAGTTTGAGACCAGCCTGGGTTACATAGTGAGTTACAGGTCAGTCTCAATTACATAGTGAGACCCTGTCTCAAAAAAAAAAAAAAAAATTAAAAAAAAGAAGCTTTTTCTAATCCTTTGGGCTTCCCTCATACATGCAATCTGACTGTTAAAAAAAGTCTTTTATTTTCCCATTACATTACACCTATCTTGTATTACACTCTTATTTATTTCTTGAGTCAATTACACAGTCTACAATAATTTTATTTCCCTGATCACTCATAGAGACTTTCTTACTTCCTTCCTTCCTTCCTTCCTTCCTTTCTTTCTTTCTGGTACTGGGGGTTGAACTCGGGTCCTTGCATTTGCAAAGCAGGCCACAAACCGCTGAGCTAAATCTCCAGCCCCAAAGACTTTCTTTAAATAATTCTCCCTGAGTACTTTTGACTTTGAATCCTATCAAAGAGATCCAGTTGTAGTGCCACAAAGAAATGTTTTTCCCTCTACTGCTCCTGAATCTTACTGATATTTGCCTAAATTTGTTATTTTCCTATCCCCATTTATGAAAACAGTAACCGCAACTATTATAGACCTTGCTATTACTTTAAAATTTGAAGAGGCTAAATTAGCCAACAGAAGAAAATATCCAGTCACTTTTCTTGGCTAGAATTATGTACAAAACGGAAAAGGAGCTCAATCCCTAATAAAAGTCACATTTTTAATGATATTTGTAAACACACTTTAATAAGATGCTAAGAACACATGGTACTTGATTGTGTGAAGAGGGGAAATGGTTAGAATATCTACAGAATGGTGCCTGACTACATTCTCTACTGAAAACTAAATTCACTTTTATGAGATTTCTCGTATTTAGAACTTGTTAAGGCACATAGATGATGACAATGTGAAGACCACTTACATTCTGGTTAGTGTTTGTTTGGAGAAAAATAAAAACAATATAATATTCCACCTGATAATGATAAACTCTGTGAGGACTGAATATTTTGGCTTGGTAATTAGAGTTAGTGACTAATCTTTAGCCTTAGGAGGAAAACACTCTTGTCAATAAAAGGTGGAGTGCTATTAGTATCTGAAACAAGACATGTCTCCTCATGTTTATAGAATAATCAGCAAGTTAATTTTCACTATCACAAATCTCATGATGTATATCAATCTCTATACACATACATTTTCTGGATTCTTCCCCTCTTCATTGGCTTCAGGTTCCCTTTATTATAATCATCAGCATTAAAAAAAAAATTCCCCCCTCTGACTTTAACTCTGAGATGTAACTGAGTGTTTATTCCTCAGGGAAAATAAGTATAACATTTGCAGAAACTATTGATATTCCCAGTCTGACTGTCACAGCTACTAGGGAAGGAGAAAATAATTTGTAGTTACAGAATGGAACTAGCCTGTTGGCTACGATCTGTTTATGTTCAGGTAAGCATAAATTTAAAAAACACCTGAAAATCTGGTCAACTGAAAATAGCAAGAGCTTTGATACTGGGTAAACAAACAAGGCTTTATCTGTATGTTACTAAATATTCAGCTATCATATGTCTGTCAGAAATTTTTATTTCATAGGGCAGTTACCAAGCTACATCTAGAAAAAATAAGGTGGAACAAACTTCACTGGGTGTTTTCTACTGCTTCCTCTCTCTTCAGGTCCTACAGGAAACACTAACTGTACAGAAAATCCTTCTTGCAATCTGCCCCAAACAAGGAAGTCGGTTAAAAAACAAAAACCAAACCAAACCAAAAACAATAGAGAGGCAGGAGAAGGAGAAACAAGAGCTTAAAAGAATGGGACTTCTTAATCTGCACGTAAAGCTCAGAAAATGTACAGTTTGAAAGTATTCTTGTTTAATTCCTTTTTCTACTCGTTATTTTGATTCATGTAAAACAGTGCTTTAAAAATCCAGCTGGGAGTTTTCAAAAATTCAAAATAAAGATCTGGCAGGAAGTGTCTATAAATACAACTACTCGATTATATTCAGAAAGGAAACATTTCTAATAGCACAAGTTAATCAGAAAATAATAAAACCTTAAAGCATTGTGAGTGGAAAGATGGTTAAACTAAGCTAATCTGAAATATGTGAATATTAACATGGATATAAGAAAGATACACAGAGAAATACTTATCATTATATAAAGTTAGTAGATAGCATTTTAAATTAACCACTATATTTGACTTTTTTTTTTTGGTACCGGGGATCGAATCCGGGGTCCTTGTGCTTGTGAGGCAGGTGGCAGAACCACTGAGCTAAATCCCCGGCCCAATATTTGACTTTTTTAACGGCAGTTTTTCTAAATGTGGTTACTTAAAATGAAGCAGAGAAAGCAATGTCTCTTTTTCTTTCTCTTTTATGACTGTGCTCCTCTTATCATGGTATGTCCTTCCGTGACTAGAAAATGTGGCCTTGTGAAAGGAGTCAGAAACAAGGAAATGTCTATTTCACCACATTTACATGTATGATAATGGTATTCACTTAAATCTGAATAGTTTTCATATCAATAAATAGGATTAATGATGACCTCACAGAATTATGAGAAGTATTATGTAGGCACAATTTCTAGCCCTCAATACATAATAAACAAGCATGAGGCTCCAGAGTACTACACAGTCCCATTCAAACCATTAAACACATTAGAAATGAAAAAGGTTTCAAATCATGCTTTGAAGACACATTTGATGTAGATATTGGAAATATGTGCACATTATAATGAAGCCGAGGCAGCAATTGCTCCATGCTATCAGGTCCTCCAGAGATAGCACACTATGCTGTGCTGAACAAGAACAGGACAACGCGGAGGAAGGTAGCACAGGAAAAAATGACCTGAACACGGTGTGAGTAGCAGCTGTGTCAAGAGAAAAGAAAATATACTGTGACAAATTCAGACCAATACAGTCACTGATGAAGATGGCAGTCTTTTCTACTCACAGGTACCAAGTACAATATAAACCACCCTGCTTCATAGATACATAAAAATTATCTGAGGGAAAGAGTAAGGCCTAAGGAAAAAGGTATAAATGTTTTTTGGTAAAACAAGAAATAATTATAAGATAAGAATATTTTTAAACATACCAAATGTGGAGGCTCATTTATCCCAAGTGGTTCCTGAAAAAATATTAAAATATTTTAAACATGTAATTTTAGTTACCTTTTGAATGTTTTGAAAATAGCCTTTAAATTTTTTTAATAGTCTGAGTAATGTACAAGATTTCTTCAACTGGCCAAGACCCTCAAAAAATATATCGAATTCTCTCATAATATTTTATAAATACATTGTATAAATATATTAGTATTTATAACTAACTTAATTCTAGTACTTCTGATGCACCAAAATTCCCAAAAGAAAAAGAGTCTAAAATTCATGTGCACCCTTACTGTTCTGTAGCTTCTTATTGAACTGGTCACCGTCTTGCACAACCTCATGACTTTGCAAAAGAGATTATTCTCTTTGTAGAATGCCCTGTTTGCCTCAAAACTTACTTTATTATAACTTCTAACTCCCTGCTTCCTTTTCTGTGGTAGTCACTGCGAGCTCCCTTCTCCTGCTCTCCCAGTACTGCCTACACATATCATTTTCTCACTAATCACACTATAATTAGTTACTCATATCTCCTTTCAGAAAACAAGAGCCATCAGGGCAGTTTACTTGATTTTTTTTTTTTTTTTTTTTTTTTTTTTTTTA